TATAAAAAGAGACAAAAAGGAGACAAAAAAAGGAGACAAACAGGAGATAGTAAGGAGACAGAATGGGGGAGAAATGATGCAATAAAGGAGATAACAAAAGGAGACAAAAAGGAGACAAAAAGGAGACAAAAAGGAGACAAAAAGGAGGCAAAAACGAGACAGAAACGAGACAAAAAGGAGACACAAGAGAGACAGGAAGGAGACGAAGAAGGAGATAGAAAGGAGACAACAGAGGAGACAATTGAGGAGATAAAAAAGAGACAGAAGGGAGACAAATAGGAGGAAAAAGTGAGACAAAAAGGCGACAAAAAGGAGACAGAAGAAAGACAAAAAGAAAACCAAAACAAAAAGAAAAGCAAAAGGAAAGAAAAAGGAGGCAAAAACAAAACAAAAAACAAAAAAAAAGGAGAAAAACAAATTAAAAAGGAGACAAAAAGGAGACAAAAAGGAGACAAAAACAAAACAAAAAGAAAAAAAAAAAAGAAAAAAAAATAAAAAGGAGACAAAAAGGAGACAGTGTATTACCAGGGGGCAGTGTTCTCCTCTATGTGAAGATCGATGGCAGTTGGGGCAAACAAATTCACCGAAGGGACAGTTCGTTATCTTGTGCTCCATAGAGTCACAAGATAAACATAAAGTAGCTGCAACATAAATAAATAAATAAATATATTGTTTATTTATTTATTTATTTATTTGTTTATTTGTTTATTTAGTTAGGAGAGAGAGAGAAAGAGAGAGAAAGAGAAAGAGAGATAGATGCACACAAACAAACAAATTCACCGAAGGGACAGTTCGTTATCTTGTGCTCCATAGAGTCACAAGATAAACATAAAGTAGCTGCAACAAATAAATAAATAAATATATATATTGTTTATTTATTTATTTATTTATTTGTTTATTTAGTTAGGAGAGAGAGAGAGAAAGAGAAAGAGAGAGATAGAGATAGATGCACACAAACAAACAAATTCACCGAAGGGACAGTTCGTTATCTTGTGCTCCATAGAGTCACAAGATAAACATAAAGTAGCTGCAACAAATAAATAAATAAATATATATATTGTTTATTTATTTATTTATTTATTTGTTTATTTAGTTAGGAGAGAGAAAGAGAAAGAGAGAGATAGAGATAGATGCACACAAACAAACAAATTCACCGAAGGGACAGTTCGTTATCTTGTGCTCCATAGAGTCACAAGATAAACATAAAGTAGCTGCAACAAATAAATAAATAAATAAATATATATATATATATATATATATATATTATTAAATATAAATAAAAATATACAAATATAAACACAAACATAAATATATAAATATAAATATAAATATAAATAAATATTTACATTTAGCATAAGCCTCGACCATCTGCATCCTGGTGAGTCTGAGGGGTCTATAATATAAATATAAACACCGAAATAAATATAAACATAAATATATAAATATAAACATAAATACAAATATACAAATATAAATATAAACATATAAATATAAATATAAATATATATATATATATATATATATACTTACACTTAGCATAAGCCTCTACCATCTGCATCCTGGTGAGTCTGAGGGGCCTCGATTCTTTTTGGTTTAGTACTTGTTGTGCCTGCCACATATCTAGAGGAGACAAACAAAAAGAAAAATTAATATTATTATTATTATTTTTTTTTTTTGCTGTTTCATATATAAATATATTATTGTTGTTGTTTGTGTTATCTAATATATTGTTGCTGCAATCCATAGATATACTACAACCATCGCCTGCCCCCATTACTCCTCCTGCTGCTGCTGCTGCTGCTGCTGCTGCTGCTGTTGTTGTTGTTGCTGCTGTTGTTGTTGTTGCTGCTGTTGCTGCTGCTGCTGCTGCTGTTGTTGCTATTGTTGTTGTTGTGGTGGTTGTTGTTGTTGTTGCTGCAGAAGCCCCTCTTAAACTCAAACCAAACCCACCACTGCAGCATCCTCCTGCTGCTGCTGCTCCTGCTGCTGCTGCTGCTGCTGTTGTTGTTGTTGCTGCTGCTGCTGCTGCTGCATCGTCCCCTCGAGCAAAGTCACAGAAAACACCCCCCCACTTACTGAAGCAGCTGCAGCAGCCTGGAGACACCTCATGAGACACCGGGGGGTTCAGGGGGGCCCCTGGGGGCCCCCGGGGCCCCGGGGGCCCCAGGGGCCCCAGGGGCCCCCGGGGCCCCTGTAGCTCTGGCAACAGAGTGTGGTCTAGCTGCTGCCGGAGCCCCCTCTGCATCAAGTGCTGCTCGCTGGGGTGCTGCTGCTGCTGCAGGTGTAGTTGCTGCTGCAGCTGCTGCTGCAGTTGCTGCTGCAGATGCTGTTGCTGATGCTGTTGCTGTTGCTGTTGCTGCTGTAGCTGAAGCTGCAGCAACTGCTGCTGCAGTTGAGGCGAACTCATATGTGTACCTGGAGCCTGCTGTCGCTGCAGCTGCTGCAGCGGCTGCTGCAGCTGCTGCTGCAGAGGCTGCTGCAGCTGCTGCTGCAACTGCTG